ACCTTTCCACCGTTAGGATTTTTCCTTTTTGCCTTCAAAAAGTCTAAAATTCCATAAAAACCATTTAAAGGAAGTGACATCAAAGGTTTTGACGTGAATTCAACCATGAAAACAAAGTAAGCTTCAACTGTCACCATCTCTGTACTTTTTCTTATCTTAAATGTGTTAAACCTGGATGAGTAAAGCTTAAAGTTTCACCCTGTTAGGACGGATTGTGAAAAATGTTTATTCAGTAGAATTTAAAAAACATTATATTAGATTTAGTCATTAAAGGTTTGTTATTCTGTTGAAGGTTAGCTAGCTAAATGTTCACCACATAAAGAGCTACAGGTGGATTAGTTAGAAAAGTTTCACCCTGTTATGGGTGGAAAGTCATCATTTTAAGTAAAATGTCAGATGATGGAACAGAGTTGCAGAGTAGTCTGAGGTATCATCAGACGTCTTTTTGTCTGTTTTCATTTCACTAGTTGCCCCCATTGACTCCTGTCAGGGGAACATCCACTACAGGGATGTCACCTGCTTAATACTCTGCCTATACTTTGACTTGAAGGAGGCAATCCTGCAACCAGTGATGAAAACCGTCAGATTTAGAATCGAACACATTGATTTTCCACCCTGTTATGGGTCAATAACAGGCTGTGATGTTCCATTAATATTTAATAAAAACACATTTTTATTAAATGTTGTTACAGAAACATTAAATACTGTGAATTTTTCTGTGCCATGTTGGGAATTGAAGACCAATAAATGCACATATTGATATACGTTTTTAAAATTACCAATATTTTCAATGCTGTCAGTAATAATGAGTAAAAAAACATTTTTTTCTTTACAATAAAGACATTAATGATTCATAACTACATGATGTTTTACAATTTCAAAAATAAAACATATTATATAGTAAAAGGGACACACTGTTTAAGAAAAAGTCATTATTTTTCTAAATTTAAATGTTTAACTATTTGTGGTCTGTCTGTAAATGTTCCTAACAGGTGGAACACATTCAGAGACACTGGTGAAAAAAACACCTGTAATTATTAATTCATCCAGTCCTGAACTTCCCCATTGTTCATTTCTTATTGTTAAACATGTCAGTGTTGTAACACAATATTTAAAACTTAAAACATTCATTTTGTTTAAATGTCCTGAAGCTGAAAAAGAATCCCCCTGTTACGCTGCTGCTTGTTCTTCAAAAATTCAGAGTTGTACATTAAAACTAATAAAACAGACATCAAAACAAAACATTAAAGTGATATTATGATCATCATGATCAGTTTTTATCTAATATTTAAAGAAGTTTTTGTTTTTCGTTTCTTCAGAATAAAAACGAGTCGTTTAATTTCCTCCGGGTTGTTGAAGGTTTTCGTTTCTCTGCAGCGTTTTGCTGCTGCAGCTGTTATCTACCAGCCCAGCCGCCTCTTATCTGCACCGCCTCCCCTCCACAGGCGGTTCTGGTTCTGTTGGACCAGAACCAGAACCTGAACTCCCTGATAAAAGATGCAGGCCAAGTTTGGAGCAAAGATAGCAAATGAATTTATAAGACGAGCCAAAAATGAGCAATTAAAAAAATACAATCAGAGAAAATCTGAGAAGAAATCTGAGAGGATTTTTAACTGGAAGGAAAAACTGCAGCTGTTATTAACATCATAAAATATTAATATGATTAAATGTTAGAGGAAATAAACTAACATGTTTATGGTTCACTGGGACTTTAATAAAATAAAATGTATTATAAAAACAACAATCCTCAGCGGATTTTGACACTATTTAATTATTCTGTTAATTAGTTAATTAGTTCATCACTTTTCCACTTTTTTCAGTTTATTTGAGGAGAAAAAACAAAGAAACATTAAAATCAGTTTTTACACATTTTGATTCATTTCATTTTCAGGATCATTTTCCTCGTCTCTCTGGTTTTATGTAAAGTTTTTTTGTAGCTTTTCACAGACATAAAATGACAAAACATTGAATATTAAAAAACATTAAAACGTTTGAAACAGAATAAAATAAATAAAAATGTTTCCAGTTTATTAAAATCCTCCAGAAATCAGGATCAAACTGGAGAATATGAACCAGAAAACTGATTATTATGATTTCATCCACCTTGATCAAAGCCTCCCCACAGCATGATGCTGCCTTCACCGTGCCTCAGGTTTTCTGACGTTTGATTTCAGAAAAACTGAAAGTGAATAAAAGTTAAAACTGATCAGAATTTTATTTTTATTATTTATTTTCTTATTTGAATTATGATTTTATTAATTTGAGTCCAGAAAGACTTTTGATACTTGAAAGTTCATGAGTTTTGAATGTACCGTCTCTCAGCTGTTCTCTGATTGGCTGTGACCTTTGACCTCTTACAGTTTTTCTATCTTTGCCTCCAGGGTTCGTTCCTGATGGTGTTTCTGCCTCCGCCCGTGATGCCGGCCGCTGATAGGGGCCCCGCTGCTGGCGCCCCGCCGCCCAGCCTCCTATCAGCCGGGCCGGACCGGGCCATCTGCGTCAGCGGCGGCGGCGGCTGGCGCCAGCGCTGTGGGAGGGACGTTCGGGCCGAGGGGATTTAAACGGAACCGGGAACAAACGTCAGACTCAGGCAGAGACCGAGACGAGCAGAGATGAGTCTGACGGACAAGGACAAGGCTGCGGTGAAGGCGCTGTGGGCCAAAATCTCCAAGGGGGCGGACGCCATCGGGGCGGAAGCTCTGGCCAGGTAGGTGACCCGACACCCGGCCGCACCAGAACCAGAACCAGAACCAGGAAATGTAAATGTAGAACTAGAAAAGAGAGTCGTTTTGTTCACGGTTCCTCTGTTTCAGTTCTGATCGCAGCCTAAAGCTGAAATAATAATATTCACTCTGACGGCATTTCCATGACAACCACAGCAAAGATTTGATTCAGAGTTAAAGACATTCAGCTCGGCAGCAGCTTCCAAGATTGAAATAATATTTAATATTTAATGATTCTTAAAGATTGATTAGATGGCTTCAGTCAGAGGCTCCTTCAGAGCCGCTGTAATACAGACTGCTACAGGAGATCTGCCCTGCCTGCAGTCATCAGTGTCTACAATAACACTCTGAAAATTACATTTATTTTTAGTTACAATATTTAATTTTCCATTGGGATCAATAAAGTATGTTTGAATTTTATTTGGGAAACAAACATTTTCATTTTCCTCCAGTAAATCTCATTTCTTCTGTCTTCAGATTTCTCATAATTCACACTTTGTCTTTGTGACCTTTGACCCCTGTTCTCCTGCAGGATGCTGGTGGTGTACCCCCAAACCAAGACCTACTTCTCCCACTGGCCGGACATGAGCGCCGGTTCCGGTCCCGTCACCAAGCACGGGAAGAAGATCATGGGTGGAGTGGCGCTGGCGGTGGCCAAGATGGACGACCTGTCCGGCGGCCTGCTGGAGCTCAGCGAGCTGCACGCCTTCCAGCTCCGGGTGGACCCGGCCAACTTCAAGGTTCTGACCCGTTCTGGCCCACCCAGACTCGGCCCGCTGCTTCACGGTGCTCCGGTGTGACGTGACGGTGTGTTTGTCCGCAGATCCTGGCGCAGTGCCTGCAGGTGGTGATCGCCATCATGTTCCCCAACGACTTCACCCCGGAGGCTCACGTCGCCCTGGACAAGTTCCTGTCCAACGTGGCGCTGGCCCTGTCTGAGAAATACCGCTGAGCCGCTGCAGCACATGATGCAGCACGTGATGCAGCACCATGAACAACCTGACAGAGCAATAAACAGCTTGCCGCCCAACATGTCTGCTTCTTTTATTTACACTTTCCTCTCAAAACCAACAAACATGTAACTGTTAAAATAATTTATTTACCTTCATAGAGAAAAAATGTGAGTTCATGTCTTAAAGTCATGTTAATATATCATTTATTTATAATTTAAGTACAAATTTATATACAATTACATATAATTTATATATATATCAACATGTTACTTGAGCAGCAAAGTCCATATAAAGATCCCAAATCCCAAAAACAGCTTTTATTTTGATATTCCACTTATCAACAGGATAATTTGTATATTAGCTAAACATCCAGCTTCAATATAAATACTTAGGTCTGAACTAAATATTTCATTTCTGAATTAAATATTTAGTTTGTGACTCTGACATTCATAAACGAAGGAATAAAATGGTGAAAATATGACTATAAAAGACGAACACCTAAATAAACAGAATGATTGTTTTCATTTTTCTAACTTTAGAAACGGATCCCCATAAACATTGACCTCTGTTTTTATTACTGATAAAAAATCAACAGTTGTAAAAGTCAGAAACATCCATGAAACATTATAAGAGTCAAAAGTTTGCAGAGATAAAGTTTACAGCTCCACAACCACAAAGAGAAAATTATGACTTCAGGACGATTCGTAACTTCTGATCTCCCAGGACGAGCCTGAAACGGAACGAAGGACGTGGCGGTCAAGCTTCTCGTCAAGGTTTGATTTATCATGCAGGTTTAGTGCAAAGCGTTACCTGACCAGAGCAGCGGCCGCCGCCCCGCCTGTGATGGGGCCCACCCAGTAAACCCAGTGGTAGGTCCAGTGGTTGGCGATCAGGGCCGGTCCGAACGCCCGGGCGGGATTCATACAAGCTCCTGAAATATCAGCTCTGTGTTTCCACAAAACGCAATTTAGTTCTTCATTAAAATGTCTACAAATAATTATTATACTCAGAAAAATAAAGAATGATAAGAGATAACGGTAGACCTTCATATTCAGGAGAAAAAGTACATTTTATACATATTTTGGAACTATTGAGCAAACCTTCAAAAGCCCTTTGACCATAAATGTTTTTTGAAATATGAACTTTAAGTCAAACAAGCAGAAGGAAAATAAACGCTGCATAAACTTAATGTCAGTGTTTCTCTATTGTATGTTGCAAATTACAGTTATAATAACGCTGAGAGTTCAAAGCTCCGGGTTGGCGCCGTTTTAAAAAACCAGGTTGGATCTGATTGGTCAGAAAATTCACGGTTTGTTTGTTTGCCATGGAGGTCACCAATGGGAACAGGAAGGTCACCAGTGGGGCCATGGAGGTCACCAATGGGAACAGGAAGGTCACCAGTGGGGCCATGGAGGTCACCAATGGGAACAGGAAGGTCACCAATGGGGCCGTGGAGGTCACCAATGGGAACAGGAAGGTCACCAATGGGAACAGGAAGGTCACCAATGGGAACAGGAAGGTCACCAATGGGTCATCATGAACTTTAATGACCCATTAGTTTCTGTGGTCTGCTGCTAACTCACCCTGCCAGGATGTTGAACATGACGGTGCTGCCCACCAGAAATGGGCCGAAGGGCGTTTTGGTCCGGCTGTTGACGGCCACCATCAGCACCACCAGGGTCACCAGGCAGGTCATGGCCGCCTCTCCGAAGAGCGCCCGGTACAGCTGGCTCTCTGACCTCAGGAGGTCAAAGGCTGCCCCGCTGGCGTTGCTGAAGCGTTCTGGGCTGGTCATCAGCTGGCGACAGAAGAACTGCTTCACATGCTGCTGCCGACCAAACAGCGTCAGGACATTTAGCAGCTGACAGACCAACCTTAGCCATCCCCGCTCCCAGGACTCCTCCGACCAGCTGGCTGACCAGGTACGGCGCCACCATGGCCAGCTCCAAGCCGCCACACAGGCAGACGGCCACGGTGAAGGGAGGGTTGAAATGGGAGCCGCTTCAACCAGGAAGGAAAAACGTTACTGAACCAGGGTTTCCCCATCAGCCTGGCGGGCCACCAGGCTTCACTAGCGCCTCCACCAGGCTGAGTGTTGCTTGTTTTTTATTAAAGGTTTTTTACACCTGTAGCAGTGAAGATGGTTAAAGAGTCTGTTTAGTGAGAAACTCAACATGTCAGCATGCTAACTGCTGCAGCAAAGTCAAAAAACTGGTTTAGTTTAATTCACTGTTTCTTTAATGTTTGCCTTTTTTAAGGCAAACATTAAAAAAGGCAATGTTATTAAAAGACACCTTATTAATAACGACATTAATAAGGTGTCGTTATTAATGTCTTCCAATCATTTTCTGCTCATATTTTCACATTTCCTGTCAACTTTAAACATTTTGGAGTCAAAACCCAGCGGCCCGCAGGATGACCGACCGAAACCCTGCAGAACGATTCTGAATTTCAAAAAATGATTTTTAAAGAAAGGAACCATCTGATCCATGATCAGAGGAGTCTGTGTCGGTTCCGGTCCTGAGGAAAGTCACCTGATTCTGTCCATGACGGCCACCAGCACCGCCACCGCCAGGCCGTGCACCAGAGCCGGCTGCAGCCGCCCCGCTGCAGGCGTGTTCTCGATGACGGACACACAGCCAATGAAGACAAAGAACATGGTGCCCAGGACCTCCGCCAGGCAGGGCTGGAAAACTCGCTCGTACTTGTTGAGCCGCTTGGAGATCGGCTTCTTGGCTTTGTCCACGAGGGAAGAGTCTGGACCCTCCATCTCCAGTTTCTCCATGGTGTCCCTTCACTCCTGCTGCAGTCTGCTGACTGAGGCAAACTTCTGCCAGGCTGCTTGTTTCTACCTGTCAGCTCAACCATAAAATCCAAAGGTGAAGGATAAGCTACAGACTATCTGAGGTCACAGAGTCTTAAAGGTTCTGCAGCTTCTGGCTTCGGTCCAAAGCGAAGCCTCAAAGTTTCTCTTTGCAGAGAAGATTAGAAAAGTCAAAGTCTGCAGGAATCCGACTCACATTAACAGGAGGAGAAATTCACAAAGTAACCAGAGAAGCTTCAGCTTCCTGCTGCACGTCTTCACTGGAGGCGCATTTCTGTCATTACATTTAGATGAATGAATGAATGAATGAATGAATGAATGAATGAATGAATGAATGAATGAATGAATGAATGAATGAATGAATTCAGCCTGGACTCGAAGTCTGCGCTGCTTCCAGGTCAGATGTTTTAACAACAAAGAAAATATTCAGGAGGAACTTTGCACTAAAAAACTCAGACATTTTCTCAAAAGTTGAAAAATTCTGACTTTCCAAACTCAGAAAAACTTTTTCAGCATTGAAGAACCAGAAGATCAGATCTACAGCCAGACACGGCGGTGGCAGTATGATGCTGTGGGCTCTGCTCTCTAGCAGCAGAACGATGACCCAAAGGTCACCAGCAGGTCATTGTCTGACTGGCCTAGTCAAAGGAACATGAACACTGTTGTGAAAACTTTCCAGGTTGTTTTTATTTGCTTCAATTAATAAAATCGACTGAAACAGATTTTTGATTTTATTCTGTTTTCTTTGATATTTAAAGTTGTTTCTGATCTGAAACTTTAAAACAAAAACTGTAGAGATCTTCTGGGGTGAAAACTTTAGTTTGAACTTTGACGTTAATCAGAGAATTTGTTGCGGTTGCCATCAAAGTCACCGCTTTATGACCTTTCTGTGACCTTGTGTCACCAGTAAAACAATCAGAATCTATTTTTCATGGAAGATTTTCAACAACAAAGAGCAGAGATCATGAAGATATCAGATCATCACGTTTATTATCTGAAATGTTTCTTCTGCTTCCAGCCGCAGCAGATTCCAAAATAAAAGCTTCAACATCCAACAATCAGAAGAAAAACATTTCAAAAGGAAATTATTATTTAAATTAAACAAAACTCGAGTTCTCTGGTCACCAAACAGTCGAGAACCGATCAACTGGTTATTGATTATTGTTACATTTATTAAGAATATTTATAC